TCCTTAACAGTGTTAATGTTCAAATCTGTATGAACCAACCAATTTGGGACATACTTGGGTGCGTTTATAATTTCTTTCAAAATCTTGTTTTGAAATCTTTGTATTATGGCGATGTTGGATTTGCGTGCCGTTCCCCAAAGCTGTATTCCGTACGTCCAAATCTGAATCACTGCTGTTCACATTTTTGTTTTTCTCTCGTTCAGTTAATTCATTGAACTCATCAGAAACTCATTAGAAAGTGATTTGTTGAATTAATAATTGAATTATTTCTTCAAAATCTTCCTCACTTACCCCTTCAAAACCTGGGTTGAAATAAAAGAACGCTAAACCAAAACAGCGTTAAGCAAGGTATTATTGTATCTTTGAAAAAAATTGATGTATGAGTGTGTATAACGATTGCAAAATTTTTCGATTCTTATTATGGGGGAGACATGCTTATTAGTTTTTCGAAAAACAGGTCCAGACATTTCGGAGATACTCAGCAAAAAATGGCATTTTAGAGCATGCGAGTAGAATGCTCCAAACATTATTTTTCTTACACTTATTGATGGAATAAAAAATCCATTACATTTTTACGAAGGCAGGTTTTTAGCGATTTCGGAAATGCAGAAAGCAAGTGAAGAAAACAGCTATTTGGTGGTCAAAAATGATCATTATACACCATTATTGAGCATTCATATTTGAATAGAATTATTCGTAGACAGGTAGAAGGATAGGCAAGTAGAAGGGTAGACATGTAGGCTGGTATATAAGTTGATAGGTGAATAGGTCAACAGGTGGACAGGTAGATAAATGATCAAGTATACAGATCAAATGTAGACAGGTACAGAAATAGATAGGTAGACATGTAGGCTGATGAAGAGGTGAACAGGTGGACAGGTAGAGAGTTGGTCGGAAGTAAAAAAGTAGACAGATGAATAGACATATGGATAGAGATAAGTAGAAAAATATTTAGGTATACTGGTTGATCATATACAAATCAAATTACTATTGATTATTGACACATATTGACCAATATGTGTAGTATTGAATAGTTTATGCAACCTCATTAAAAAATGCAACTAATATTATATTTTTCTTTTATTTAGCATTTTTCAGTTAGCGATAATATTTCTTTAAAAACTAAAAGGCATTTTGTAAATTTTGAGAAATGTTTGATTTATTGTCACAAAAAGTTTGAGCCTGTTAAAAAAAAAGATTTTCTTGATGCAGAGCAGATTTTATTGTATAGCCTTTTCCACAGCTTAATTTTTATTTGTTTTTTTTTTCAAAAGCTCATGGTTAGATTAGAATACATCAAAAATTGTGTTAGAAAAAAACATTATTGATATTTTATGTCTTTAAATATATATTTTTTACTATAGGTATTAAATAAAATAATTTTCTATACTCTTTTCTATACTACTATGCATTTATTGTTATTAAAAACTATAAAAGTAAAACACATAAAAAATCCTAATAAAAGGATGATTTCGATACAGACTATTTGCTGACGGAAATGATAAAATATTAAAATATTTACAATGATTTCAGCAAATAATAGGAAAGGAAATTGAATATTTTATCTATTATTTTTTATTGTCCGAACAAAAACACCATCTATCGCCTTCTGTATATGCAAATATTATTGGTAAAATAAAAACCCTACAAATACATTTATGTTTTGATTTCGTATAGATTTCAATATTCTCTACTTTATAATTTATATATATTTATTAGACTATTTGGAAGACTAATACTTAGTTGTTAAATACCAATACAATTTTATGGAAAATATCAAATTTGCATGTCGTTTTCCAAATATAGTCATCCTTTTTGAATTCCACATTTTTTATGACTAAGAAATTAATTTCCCATTAATATTATATATGATATTAAGTATCTAATAACATAATTGCGGTATGAATGATTAAAAATCAGTTATCAATTTAATTTGTTGAATGTTATATATTGATATCATTCAACTTAATTTTGTTTAATAATATTAATATGGACGGAAATTATCAGTCTTTGATGTATTATCAGCAATATTATTAGAGTTAATGATATCAATATATAACATTCAACAAATTAAATTCATACCTAAATTTTCAATCATTCACACCGCAATGATGTTATTAGATATTTAATATCGTGGTATTAAGTATTGATACTTGAATATTTCTGTAAGATATTAAAATGGTGTATTGTGATCTACTACCACGTACTCCATTTTTATTTCGTGGATCCAGATTTTTTTTCGCTGATATTGACCCTTTGATTGTTGTCCTGGCAAGTGGACCACTTGGTAATCACTGTAATCACTGAATGAAATAAAAACAGTAAAACTTAACAGGACACTACAAAAAGTGTATGATTTATAATCGGTTTATTTCATGAAATTTATGTATCAATAGGGGGGAAGTCCCGTAACGCCGGACGGCACCTAAAGCTGGACACTCTATTTAACACGTATTATTTAAGCGAGCATAAGTTTTTTTATTTGACAAGTGAATACAAGTGAAAGAGCGTGGGGAATCAATGGAAGTAATTCTAGTGTATTTATGCATTTATATTTTAGTGGCATTTAAAAATAAAAGTAGTACTTGATTGTTATCCGTAAAATGGTAGAATATTATTAGATATTTTAAACAATTTTAGTAGGTACCACCAAATGAACGAAATTAATTGTCTGTAGGTACTTTAGCACCGGACAATAAGTCGTCCCTTAGCGCCGGAAGTAAACATATTGATGTTTCTTGTGAAAATTGACCTAATTTATTCCAATTATTTAATTTTGTTCTGTATGAGTGCTAACGGTCACTACACACCCCCATTTTTCGTATATTCTAGTCAAAGAATGAAAATCTTATGATAAATGCTCCAGCTGAGAGCATCGGTGTGGCCCAGCCAAATTGGTGGATAAATAGTGATTTTTTTTTTGCTATATCTAAGAATATTCGTCAAACACAAATGTGCAGACATTCCAGAGTGTGGAGATGGCTACATATGTGTTCAATGCTGGTTATTTAGAAATGTCCAGTACTAGGTGCCACTTTGTAAAATCATATTATTTGTTACCAAAGTTTGATTGATAGTATTAATTATTGTTTAGCAAAGATTGCGTTTTTGTTAATTTAGTTTGATTTTTAACTTTGTTATCTAACATAATTCATAATTTAATAAACATTTCGTAAAATATTGTTTGATTTATTTATAAATAACCTTAGGTGTCCGGCACTCGGGGACTTCCTCCATAATTTTTCTAAAAATTGAATGGAAATAGTTCTCGTAATGTACAACCCTTTTCGTTTAAGGCAAATGAGAATAAATTCAGCACTAATATGCAATGTTTGATGTTTATATTATATTGTATTATATTGTTAACTACATAGTGATTTCGTTATCCGCAAATGCATTAAATGAGCCTCTTCGTTTTATTACTCTCATCGTGTTGAACATTGCATATTGCGGCGGATGGGCACGCATTCAGAACTTTATTGAATAATGACAATAATAGAATAATGTATTTGCGCATCTGATACAGCTCATTTTCCTGTTGTTTTCCAATTTTTATTACATTTCGAATAACAATCAGGTCGAACAAAATCGAGAGCCCTAGACCTACAAATTAAATTATTGCTTAACGTTGAATTTCCATCGAACACAATAATAGTCCGATGTTCGTTCTATTTTCCTTTAAAAACAATAGAGGTGTATTTATGTACGTACTTATGAAAATTATTAAAACTCTCCTTCGTTAACTCAGGTTGTTGGGT